TCACGGCACCTAGGGACGCCAAATCATCGCGCAGGTGCCAGCACCCGAAGCACAGTATACACGAACAGCAGTGGTGGTGGTGCTTCTGTCATAAATTTAAGAAGATAAAAAAAAAAACTTGTTGTGTAGCAGCAGCTGGATTAGATGAGAATACTGGAGAGGAAAACACTGCAGACACCAATGTTCGTGAAGAAGGATGGGAGCAAGTGCTATAGATACATGAAGAGAGATTCCCTGCCAGCCTGTGGTGCAGCCCATGGTGAGGCCGGCTGGCCTGTAGTAGCCCATTGCGGGCCCCACTGGAGCACCACATGCCACCTGGGGAAGACCCAACGCCGGAGCAGGGGGATGCCCGAGGGAGGCTCGGACCCCATGGGAAGCCCGCGCTGGAGCAGGCTCTTGGCAGTGCCTGTAGCTCCGTGGAGAGAGGAGCCCAGGCTGGAGCAGGTTTGGTGGGGGGGCTTGTGACCCCACGGGGGACCCAGGCTGGAGCCGTTTGTGCCTGAAGGGCTGCAACCCGGGGAAGGGACCCACGCTAGAGTCGTGCGTGAAGAACTGCAGCCCATAGGAAAGAGTCACATTGGAGAAGTCCGTGGACGACTGTCTGCCGTGGGAGGGACCCCAGGCTGGAGTAGGGGCAGAGGGTGAGGAGTCCTCCCCTGAGGAGGAAGGAGCAGCAGAGCAACATGTGATGAACTGACCCCAACTTCCATTCCACATCCCCTTGTGCCGCTACAGGGAATGAGGTAAAGAAAATAGGGAGGGAAATTGAGCCTGGGAAGAAGGGAGGGGTAGGGGAAAGGTGTTTTTAAGATTTGTTTTCATTTCTCTTTATCCTACTCCAATTTGATTAGTAATAAATTAAATTGAGTTCCCCAAGTTGAATCTGGTTTGCCCGTAATGGTAATTGGTGAGTGATCTCTCCCTGTCCTATCTTGACCCACAAGCCTTTTGTTCATGCTTTTTTCTCTCCCTTGTCCAGTTGAGGAGGGGCAGTGATAGAACAGCTGTGGTGAGTACCTGTCATCCAGCCATGTTTAAACAACCACACCATACCTCTCCTGATTCCAGACCTGCAAATATTTTGTCATTTTGCTGCTCTGAAAATAATCCCATTCATTTCAGTTGACAATTCTTCCAGGGATCACGCCTTTATCGCATAGTGAAAATCTTCATTAATGCATTCAGCTGCTGGGTTTTTTTTAAATTCAAGATGTGCAGCTGGACAGGTTTTTGTCTGGGACATCTCTGTACTCACCTTTGACTATCTGAGTCTGGCTGTCCCCAGATTCCACATGGGTACTGACTTGGACTTTTAATTATGGCATTTATCCAGTGATACTTCTACTCCAGATCACTGCTATTATCCATGGAAGCATAAGTGGAGCACACTGTATCACTTCATTCTGTGGCTTTTCTCAGCTACTTACTACCAAACTCTCTCTCCAAGATCCTTATCCCAGTTTTCTGAAAACGACATTCTTTACCTTTCTGTAATCTAGGCTGAGGTTCTTTGTGAATTTGCCTGGGAGCTCAGTATCTCTCACACACCATTTACATTCTGGATTCATGTAAGGAAGAAAACTTCATATACTCTCCCCTCCTGCAGCTGAACTACATTTGTTGCCATGATGCATACGCCAAGATCTCCACCTATGAGCACCTCCCAAACCTGTCAGATGCACTCACTGGCTGCCGATTTGCGTACCTGCTGTTCAACCCCACCTCTTGGTAAAAGAAAATGTTCGTGCTCAGATTTCAACTAGATTTGACAAGATGTCATAGTGTTGCTACAACAATTAAAAATTCCTCCACTCAAAAGCACAGAGTACACTTGCTTCTATTTACAGAATTTGCAGATGGATGAATACATGATGCAACAGTTGCTCTATATCAATTTACACCACCTACAGAAACTGGTTTTGGATATTTGAAAAACCAGAATATAGAACATGAGGATAAGCTCTTAGTCACCATTAAATGAACCAATTTGTGTTGCACAAATGATCAACACTAAAAATAACTTGTTTAAAATTAAATAAACAAAGCCATTTACTTACCATTGGCAGCCTAGATTGAAGCATCTGGAGATCATCATAACCGTAAATCTGCTTAAAGACAGATAGAAATACAACATTATTATAACACTTTTCTCTGATGTGGATCACTTTGGAGCTTTAAACAGAGTTTTACCTTGGCTCAGCCTATTTTAACAACATACAGCTATACGTCACATTGTGCCATCAAGGCTCACTGTAGCATTTTAAGGCTACTAGACGTAAGCTTAAAATGGCTTGTCATTCTGATGTCGTTTCTTGGTTACAGCAGTCCTCTGAGGAGACTCTGACTGTCCCATCTTTAATCTTGTTTTCACAGATGCATCATTCATCAGCTTGTGAAAAATCTACAGGGCAATCAAATTTTGCAGGAAGAGCAACAGCCTTCTTTGCTGCAACTACTACTACTGAGAACAGCAGGATTTAAGACTTGATGACTAGAGCACAAAGCAACCTGTGGTATCCCCTCACTTTCAACGTGATACAGAAAGATGATTAGAATAAAAGTTTCTGATTCAAAAACAGACAACAAAAAATATGTTGATCTTGGTCAGACATTAAAAAGCTATGTGCATTCTTTCAAAGTATGACAGACAGGACACATAGCACATTTCAATAACTACTATAGTATATCTATTCCAATAACACAAAACTGAATGAGTCTAATTTTACTCAAAAGGCCTAAAACCTGATACCACCGAAAACCATAGCAACATGCATGTTTACCTTCAACAGCAACCAAATCAGGGGTCTCTCAACAGTTCGGCAGTCTACTATCAAGAGTAAACCCCCACTAAATATATTTCTTATATTCTTCAGTATTTGGAACAAGAATTGCAGGTATGGCATGTGCCAACAGAAATGCTTGGCATAGACAGAAGAAGGTCTAGAGGGCTCAATTCCACCAAGGGTTAAGCAACCAAGGACAGGAACAACTAAACTGCTTACTGGGTAGGCAGGCAGAAGTCCTCCAGGTCCCACAATATACTGGTTATGCAACAGGGGTGGTACACCTTGGGGCAGGTTTGGGGGAGCTTTGCCTGTAGAACCAAAACACAGACACTTTAACAAGTCTTTAGAAAAGAAAAGGCTTCAGCATTGAGACAAAATCGCTCACAAGCCCTGGCAGCTGCACTGTCATAGTTTGTGAAGTGCAGAATTATGCAGAAGAATTTTGTGCTAGTTGATGAAAATGCTCAAAATAGCCTGAAGAGTTTAACTATGCCTCAAGGAAGGGAAAGCACAGGCTACTTAAGACTGAAAACAGTCCCATCAGACAACAGTCTGATTTTGTCATTTACTTTGTCCAAGAGGATTACAAGAATCACAGAAAATTCTCCTTTCCTCAGTCCTCTCCTGAAGGCAAAATTTAGGCATTGTTCTCAATCTAAGAGAGCAAACTCGCTCCTTTCATCTTCTGCCCTGTCAACACATTCCCCCTTATCGCCAGCAACAGACTGGAAAGCACTAAATGTTGCCAGCACACTTTTTGTGGGTGACTTATTGCAGCTGATAATAGCAAAGAGAAGACAACTAAAACAGTTTCAGTTGCCTCCATGAAGCAGTGCTAGGAAGCAGATGAGTAAAACAAATGTGCTTTGGTCAGACATCAGGCACTTCATTTACAAGGCATGGGAATGAGAAACGGGAAATCCTTCTGCAAGTAAGTTTGATCTTAATATTTAATTCATTCACTTCCCTCCATAGGAAATCCTTTTAGCAGTTCAGGTTGGTTAGTGAAGCAAGAGAGAATTTAGCATTGCTTCCACTTCAGTGCAAGAAGCGTCCCCACCTTCTCTGTCTGTGGACCCTTTTTCTGATGTGCTATTTGCTGTGGAATGACCCAGACATCAGACACTTTTTTCCGTTCTGTAGATGTGGCAGTAGGGATGTGGCATATGATAATGAGGACACTGCAGTGTATTTTGATACTGCCAAATGAATTCAAGTCACAGAGAAGACTGAAATTAAAACTAATGTAAACTCACAGACAAGAGCTGATCACAACCTTGAATACAAACTGGGCAAATACCCTAGCCCAAAACTTCCAAAGTCACAACTGCTCTGGTGTCCATTTCTAAAGCTCTTTGGGGATGGAATGTGCTATACAAATGCCACAAAACATCCCAACAAATATTTCAAATACACAAAACCAGGCAACTTCATTTTATAAGCCAGCAAACAGAGCATGCTGAAATGCCAGTCAAGAGTGTAGATTTCTTAGCGTAGTTACACCTGGTGAGATGCTCAACTGACAGCCCTGCTGACTTAAGCCCTCTGTCTGTCCACGTGATCTGTTAATATTTCGAACCTGAAGACACTAAGGGAGCTGCCCGTGTGGTAGCAGCTGGTATAGACACACTGGTAACGCTCAGGCCAAGGCTGTTTGTAGTGTTCATACTGCTTGCCATGCTGACAACCGAAGAGGTGGTGCTAGTGGCTGAGGTTGAAGCAGCTGAAAAGGTTGTTGAGGGCTGGAGCGAAGTTGTGTTCTCAACACTAGTGTGCTAGAAAGGAGACAAAAAGAATGAAGATCACAGAGCAAATAAACCACAGTGGAACATGCGGAGGGGGAGGGAAATTACCCCCAACCGCCCCAACAATCTTCTAAGTAACAGCAGCACATGCAAAAGATCTGCATTATCTAGCTAACAAGCAAGCAACTAAGTTGCCTGCCTGTGATTTTCAAGTATTTGAAGAAAATTATTACAGGACAGTTAAATTCAAACCGCTATTTCATCACAAAATCATACCACAGTAACTCAAATGTCACTCCACTGCATTATTTCTTGCCCTTTGATTGTATGGTCCTCTAAGCTAGTACTTGTTATGTTAAATAGACTCTTATATTCTTTCAAAAGACAGTACTTGTTTCCAAAATACAGGACACTGCTATTATGATTTCCTCAATACACTTGTGGAATTTAAAAGACTAAAACTGTAGTGCCTCACATCGGAGTCAATGCAGTAAACTCAAATGCAGACCAGATGTATTACAGGAACACATGAGGATAAAGGAGTTCCTGGTTTGAATCCAGCACAATACGGTGCCTTAGCTTTAAGCCAATCACACTCGCAAAACAGTGTCATCAACACACAGAAGGTAAAACAGGTCTGACAACAGAAAAGGAGGACATTTGGGTAAGTGTGAATTTTTAAGTTACATATTCAGCAGGGATGCAGCATTACAAACCAAAATATAGGCATAAAGAAAAGCAGTAACCTATCTGCACACCCCAAGTGGGATTGTACAAAAGTACTCCATCGCAGAACAAGGCAGCGTGTCTCTTGACTTTTGCTTCTGCAACCTTACCTAGAGCACCGTGTTCACCACCATTTGCCTTGTTATCCTAAATGCATTCACCACACGTTACAACAATGTCACATGGTAAACTCTAAAATCATCTGTCACAAGGCATTTGCCATGACATTCATTCCATCACCCGCATTTTGCCATCTCAGCTCTCCAGTGGAGACTCCTAGCAGTCCGCATTTCGGAGCCGTTTCAGACAGCCACTTCTAAAGATGTTTTCTTCTTTTTTAATTACATTTGTTACAAGAATTTCCTTTATTCCATCCCCCCTTGCTGGCAAGAAGATTTCCTCTGAGGTTGTGTGACCGAAGAGTCTCTGTAATAGCTATTCCTGACCTAGTACAAATCACAACTGGTAAAGATAAGGCTCTTGTTACAGTTCTGACTGTACTAGGACACAATGAACTTTAAGAGATGGTCTTAATCATCAGATAAACTGACTATATGCCAAACATCTGTTGAAATGCAAATAGTACTTACTGCATGTGATGTGCTTGAGGACAACACTGAGGCAGGGGAGAGGCTGCTCTGATGATTGGAAAGGGAGCTAGAAAGAAATTGAAAAGAATTAATAAAATCAATTTTTCCTATAACTGTTTTTAATATATATATGTATGTATATATACACATGTATATACAAAACAGAGTAGGTAGTAGGATACCAGTTAAATAATAAAAATTGTAGGTGTGTGTATACATGTACACATACACAGTAGGATATTAGTTAAAAATTGTTTGTAGGTATGTGTGTAAATATTTACACATAAATATGCATATATATGTGTGTATATATACACGCACCCCTACAGATATTTTTCCCTTTAACTAATACCCTAATACCTCTTAATAAAGAAAATGAAGTACAGAGACAACTATTACTAACAAGAAACATCCAAAACACCTTTCATTTCCATTTATCAATTTACTATATTTTTAGAAAAACAACAGTTGCTTCAGTAATTATGTAGCAACGAATCCAAGATACATAAAGTCCAAAACCAAAAGAAGGTTCACATAACACATGACTTGTTTCTCATCCCTTCCCCGAGCAACTGCTGCCGCCTGCCACGAGGCACAGGTATTAAACAGCTGAGGCAATGCTTTGGTTTGACTGACTGGTATTTCTCACATTTTAACCTGCACAACCTTAGTTCAACCAATCAGAATTGCACAGTATTTGCCCATAACTCTGCCAAAAGCCCCAATGCACTCTCAAAACACAGTGCTCAAAAAAAACACCAAATGAAGAGCATCCGTAAAAGCCCCAAAATTAGCCATATTACTACAGAATCTGGCAATTTAATCCAGGCCAGTTCATACCACTGCACCCCACCAAAAGCCATTTTCTCTTTGAAAAGATGAATTAGAACTATGAGTTCAGTTTTATACATACACTGTAAAATAAGAAAATAACCTCCTGCATCTGCTGATAACTTCATTTTAGGAAGTAACTCTTCCTAAGCACCACCTTTTTTCCCTACCTGACCAGGCCTGTGAATTTTTAGCAGTAACAGTAGCGCTGACATTCATCTGTAATCCAAAGATCTTTAAATGTCTCCCTGAAAGGTGACTGAAGTTGGTTAAGGAATGATTTCAAACATGCAACACTAAACAAACAGCAGGCAATGTGGAAAAAGCAGGAAAAACAAACTGGGGGAATCAATTTAGCTGGCTTGATTGAAGTAAAAGCCTCCTTGAAACACGAAGTTGTTTATATACCACAAAAACTTGAGGGCAGGAGCTGCTCCATCATTAAGAGGCAGCCTAGAACTCATACTTTGCAACCAGAAACATGCTGTTCTCCTCTGAAACTCTCTCCTAATTCTAGTTAATGTCAGAAAGGGGGACCCTGGTATCTGACAACGCACACACAATCACCCTTACATTTACCGTTTCCCCAAACTGAACCCCTTTCAGTTTATCACAACTCCTACCATACCTGCTTAACTGGGAAAGTGAGCTGCTGGCTAAATCACTGGACTGAGGCAAGCTGGGCAACGTTGCCGCATGCTGCGATGCTGAAGGCAGAAGCGAAGCAGTGGTGGATACCACACTAGGCAGAGAACCAGCAGAAGGTAGTGAGGGAGAAGGCTCTGTCTTAGGTGCTGGAACTGATGAAGTAGCTGCAACAAGTTAAAAAGAAGCATTCAAAGATAAATTCCAGCTTATCTGACATCCCAGCCTGGATTCAAGAACACAATAATATTCTCCCTTTGGTTTACAAAAACCTGACCATTAAGAACCAGTAACAGTATCAAGCAAACTGGCTATTAAGGAAAATTCAAACAGCCACAAAACTATTGTTTTTTTCCCTTTAAGCTCTTCACCTACAATAGATTTATAATTTTCACCGCTACATGTGTAGTAAACTACAGTCTTCTGCACTTCACCTCCCACTATCTGGATTACTAGCTCTTCCTCACAAGTCAGTCCTCATTTTAAAATCTCTTGCATTTGGTTCTGCAAACGAAAGTCATTTGCACTTTTCAAGGCACTGCACCAATCTACTTTTACCTATACAGCTCTGCTTCTTCATTCCACCCTACACAGCATCTTTGATGATGGAGACTGAGATCGTTGGAGCACAAGGGCACATACAACTTAGCAGTTTGGAGTACTACAATACGTAATGCAGTAGAATAGAAGAAGCTACAATAAAAGGCCACAACTGAGCATGGCATTAAGTATTTTTAATGACTAAAGAGTTGTCAAATATTGATTTACTTTATCTGAGCTAGGTAACAAAAAAAGTCGAGCTTTAATATTGTTTTTTAGGCTACAGAGTAAAACTTATTTACCACAGATGTGCCTTTCCAAAGGATCACTACACAGTAATAAGACCCTGAACAACTCTACTGTCTGACATAATTCCCTGCTGTTGCTACACTTACCTCTTGTCCTGCAAAGATAATATAAAGCATTACAGGCACTCACCCACCCACAAAACTCAGAGATAGAGTTGAGCCCTGCCTTCTGCTGGGTGATGCTTCCATACCACACCAGAGATCACTACCCAGTGGATCATCACTAACTTGCAATGCATGGGAAGTCAGTTTTAGAATGGTCACCAAATGTCAGACATACGCTTGGAAGTTACACATCACAGTTTGTTCACGTTATTGGTTTGGTTTCCTCACTAAATGACCTAAATCAGGTTACTGGATTGGGTGTTATACAAACAGAAATCAAGAGGTCTTGGCAATAAGCATCAGGGTAACTGACAACAAAGAAGGAAATTCAAGAGAAACGGAAACATAGTTATGAAGGTGTCAACTATATCACCTGATACCTCCTGGCGAGATTCACACAAAAATAAAGAAATAATATTTACAACTCTCAATACATTTAGAGCAGCGTTCCCTCCTTCAAGTAAAAGCAGATGTCCTCAATACAAGGGACAGAATCACCCTCTTCATTAAGACCCCTTACAAGATGCCTGAACACAATGTGCAAGACAAAGAAAACCAGGAGATAAGCAGGATGGTCAGAAGTACAACACATCCATCATGCTTTGAACTAAGGGTTTAGGAAGCATGAGATCTGGATATTAAAGAACAACAACAGCAAAGATGAGATGAACAACTAAGAATATTATCAGTACATACAGAAGGGGAAAGGTCAGTACTTTCAAAAGTTAAGAGAGAATTTCAAAAGCATTTGGATGTGTGAAATAAGATACATAGAAGAAGACTTATTCTAGTTTGTGTGCTTGAGATACAGGAAAAAAACAAAAGTGTTTTCAAAAGAAAACTGGCACAGAAAAAGGGACTAATAAAGCTATTATAGAATAATTACAAAAATACTACAAATTCTCAGATCTTTGTTATCCATAGCAAAAAGACAAGACCTGCAGTGCATTTTATAAATTGTTTATTAACTCTGTACACGAGAGGAAGAAAGTTTTCCACTTGAAAAGCTGTCTTTATATATAACCATCTTTTAAGCCATTCTTTGGGCATATACACTCCTCCTGCTCATTTAAATTGAACTTGGCACTAACAAGATGCTGTTTACAGGTCTGAATACTCAACTTCTTTCTACTCAGAAGTACAACAAAAATTCTTAAAAAAAAGGCTGCTCTAGTAATGACCTATCTGAAGAGATGTTTAAGAGGAGGATAGACCTAAAATTGAAGTGTTGGAATTCCACAAGATGTTAATCCACACTGCTGCCCTTGAAAACTTTCACAAAGCAGCAGATAAAGGTCAGAATAGTGAACACTGTGCTTTTATTATTTTAACTCTGGGGAGAGAGCTGTAGGGGTGCTACAAGTAAAATACCACATTAGGAACAGGCCAAGATGAAGGTAACAGTAATGCCTGTACCAGAGGCAGTACAGTGCTATTGTTATTTCACTGCCAGGCAGCAAGCTACTCGACAGAGGGAGCATTTAGCCACCCTTATATCCCCAGGACTTCTTAACAGGGCATAAGTAGCAATACACCCAGAGAGAGGTGCATTCAATTTGTTTCATTAGAGCTAAATGTTACAGCTTCCCAATTGAGAACTGGAAGAATTGCTAAGAAATTTTATATTAACTTTTAATTTTGTATTTTATTTTAATTTTATAATTAATAATTTTTTGCAGGTAAATTCAAAAGGAAAAGCAGCGGCAAAGCAGCTTCTCTAATTCTATGGCTGGGTTGGGTTTGTGGGTTTAAAAAGCGTG